ATGGAGGTGACTACACAATCTCTGCAAGTCAAAACCCAGTACCCACACCAAGATTTTTATTAGTAGATGCGATTCATTCTGCTAGGCAAACACCAGCTCCATGCAAAATCAACACTTAATGACTCTTAGGTCATTGAAGACTACTATTGCGTGAACTGTTGTGTGCAAGCTAAGGTAACGCTTCGAGGGAATAGCGGGCCCCTTAGCTCACAAAGAGCCTGTGTCACTTCAGGCGCAGAATCCATTCTTCAACAGTGCGGTTTGTCAAAGTCAATTACCTTGTCAGGCTTAACAGTGGACGAGTAGCGCGCAATTATAACAGTTGCTCGAAGGCTCTTTTTCCAAAATTATTTTACGCGCGTGCAAAATCTTTTTGCTTTTGAGATAAACGGTCGTGTACGTGCACTAACATGCCTTAGTGGCTGAGGGCATGAATAAGTTATGGAAGTGGATGGTCCCTAGTTCTTTTGGCGTTATCGCCTAGACCACGCCTTCGAATGCGACGAAAGCAATTGGAAACACGACGGTAGTATCAGTCCACAATAGAACGTAGGCAAGCGTGACGCAGTTCCAACACCCATAGGCTTTAAATCTGAAGCGTACTAAGCTATAATAAAAACTTTTGTACTGCACTATCTACACTTAACTAAGAACTGGTAAACATGAATATTTGGCTCATCTGTTCGTATATGTGGCAGCTCCGAGAGTGCTGTGAGCTTGATACAAAATGGTGCATTGTTGTTTTTCCTCCAGTGAATTTTCAGAGTGGCTCGAGTGTGTAGTACTGCGCACTCTGACACTCCCTCTCCACTGATTTCTGGAGCTCCAAAGGGTGCGGGAAAAAGGAGTGAATCCTTCTGAAATCACTCAGACACGTTTTAGTAGGGTTGAATTGAGTCTGGGGTTGAAGATGTTCTTGCGGAGCCCTTAAATGGCGCGTTACTGCTGGAAACACCGCATGGTTTGATCCAGCTGCTCCCCGCTCATCCACTGGCTATGGAAGCAGTGAATTGTCGCGCTTCCCTACAACAGTTGTCTCGCTTTGCCTTCCTTTGTTGGCCCCCTAGATAACCTGCTTTTCCTTTGCAGCAATCTGATAAGGTCACTATCTGACGATGGAAGCTGACTGCGGCACAAGACCTGTTGGGGCGGAAGGGGCCGGCGTGTATGCTGATGTGAACGCAGTAGCCCCACAGCTGGTGGAAAGGCACAATGCATTAGTCGATCGAATGTTGTTGGATGTGTCGAAGGGGTTATGCTGACTAGAAAAGGACACCAAGCTACTCGAAGATTTCGTTAACCGGTTGGGGATATGGCCGAGTTCGTACTTCTTGGATGAGGATAGCCCAGTGCTCCAAACTGTATATTCGTTGTAAACGCGAATAAATCCAACGTCCCTGTAGTAAAAACTATCTGCCAGCAGGAATCATGTGTCCAGGTTCTGAATCATCGGGAATGCCGAGATTAGGTCAGCAACAAAATTTGGAAGAATTGACAGGGCTTAAGCAGGGAAAATAGAAACTCGAGAATCACAAAACTTTAGTTTACGAAAGCCTCGACATAGACAGAAAGCTGTCCTTAAAGTGCTTCGCCTACCTGAATTGTCGCGTCAGATGGTCGCTAGATGCGCAGACACTCAGCGGTTACACAACCCACTAGTGGAGCTTTCACACTTAAGGAACTACTTGAGGTTTCAAGCACAAAAAACGCAATGCCTGCTTTAATATCATAAAGTGTCAAATCGGAATTCGGAACATATGGGCGTCGGAAGAGTGTCATGCAGAATGAATCTGCATCCCACGGTCAAAGGCAAAAGAAGGCCAGAGGGAAACCGCGTCCCTATGCAGCCACAGCCAGCTGTTAACAGGTGGCAAATCCACTTGCATTATGGATAGCTGAGTCATGTGCAAATATGCACAAACCTCAAGGCCTTGAACGACGATACTAAGCCCAACGGAGGCAAATAGCTTGCCGATCATAAAAGGGGAACCAGGAAATAAGGAAAGCCGTGGAGTATGCCTTTATGCACCCACAAGAACGCTGCTAAGTTCTTAGACTTGCACCTAGTTACCGAAAGATCACTACTGAATTTGCCTGGATCGCTGCTCCTTCGACTGATCTACTTCAGAAAACGTAGTCTATGGCATGCACAGAGGAGGGTGATGCCTCCGCGCGAAGCTCACCGACCGCATCACAGCTCCTCCGGTACTGAAGCTGCCGGAGAGTTCTACGCACCATATGTTCCAAACATTGAATGCCAGTAAAGTGGTATCGGGTGTTATTTTCCCCCCACAGGCTGCGGATTCTCCAAAGCACCAAGCTATTGATTGTCATCTATCCATTTCTGTTAAGGTTAGAGATGCAACAGAATTATCAGTATTCGCCCCCTCAAGAAGTACCGATACTTTATAAAATATTCATGGAAATGCCGCTCATGCAATTGATCCGTGTGGAGGCAACGGATCCGCTGTCCCGGGGAGGTCTTGCACCTTAAGACTACTAGCCGCCGAGAACACACTAGATGGGAGTTTCTAGTGACATGGGGCGAAGAACACCAGCCTCGTTTGGTGACGGAGGGACAGTCGGAGGCTTTGCTGCCGGCGAAAGTGCTTGATACTTTGTTTTACAAGCTTTTCGTTGTGGAAGGTATTACTTGCACTCCCTCGTAGCTGCCCTGCCCTAGCGCACGCTGTGCCTGGATTGCCCATGTTCATGTAGAGGTCTCCTTTGACACGTTTGGAGAATATTGTTAAGGTGTCGTCTATGCCCAGACTAATGTACGGGCACCCACAGGTGTCTTTACATTCTTCTGAGTGCCTGTTCTGGGGCTTCGCAGTTGACCATGCTGTGTGCACCGGCCCTTTCTGCATGCGTAGTTTACTCTATGAGGCGCGAAAGCACTGCTGAACCAAAAGAAATATTGATTCGCTCTGCAGAGTTTACTTAGCCTCCGCTTTGTCGCAGTAGCAGGTCCACACTTTTCAGCGCCAGAAACGACAACAAGATATCACGCCACCGCGGCCACGTTGGTTTCATTGGCCCTTGGCTGCTGGCTAGTATAGAGACTTTCACTCAACTCATATTCATTTTAACGGGAGGTGCACACATAACTGCTTCTCAGCTGCTGTGTTTACGCGTTCCTACTTGCCTGGGAAGTGGCGGTACTACAGCTCTTCCAGGGGCCCTGCAAGCAGCTTGTCTCGGCCTACAGATACGGAACACGAAGGCCCATGCTTGAACTGGGTGGAGAGTGGGAGGAAATATGGCGATCCATGTTACATTTCAAGTCTTACTACTACAAAGATTATACTTGACCAAGAATCGGTTAACAATCAACAATTTGGTTTGTGTGTCCGCATATGTTTTTTGCAGAGCACAGTGAGGTTGCTACAAGAAGACATAATGTTGTGTGCGTGTGTTCTAAATCATAAGTGCAACTATCTGTGGATGCTCAGAGTGCTGAGAGGATTCAGCAACGCGCATCCTATCTCTTCCCCTCCCCTCATGTCGGGGGCCCCGATGGGTGCGGGGAGAAGAAGAGAGTCCTATTAAATACGCTCGCTATGCCTCTAACATGGTCGTTTTGAGTGTAAAGCTGACTATCTCATTTTAGATACCTTAGGTGGAGCGTTACAAAAATTCCCACTGAGTCCTTCTAGCTAAAAGAGCATAGTGACAAATGCCAAATAGTCCATCATTTGCGGGAGCTAAATTGATCGGTTGCATAATAGCTAATTCGCTGGTTGACGGGCAAGTGCTTGAGAAGACACGAGGTAGGTGTCCGACACACAGCTGATAAAGCAGTTATGCATCTTCGTTGTTGCTCTTGCAAATCAACCGCAGTGTATCCTCGGTGTATACGTCCATTCATACATTTTACTGCTTAAGCGTTTATAGTTCTCTCGAAGCCTGCTGTTAAGCTGATATCGGCATCGACGATGAGTGAGGGATTGCACGAAGGGCTAGACTGCAGCAATCCCTACAGATGGCCGAGTTTTTCGCGCCGGAATAGGGCCACCATTGAACTGTCTCTGCTACCAATAAACACGCCGCAAGAAGTACTGGTTTTTCTCTCTCTGGGGGCTACGAAGTGAGGCATGTCCCCACATGTCTCACCAAGCTCCTGAGCGCTTTCCCACCCTCACTGCGGTCACACTTTTCTCGCATAACCCCACCAACAAGTCTATTGACACAGTGTCTCTGGACAATCTTGCACTCCTGCCAGCTATGGAGGTACTGCACTCTTGTCGGCTTGCGAGCTGGGCAACGATCACAACAGGCATTCCCCCCGCCGTATGCTATACTCTCCACAGGTCACTACTATCAGATTGCTGATAAAAGAAATAAACTATTGAATGCCGAGTGACTTGATCCAAACCATACAACTGTTGAAGAAAAGATAGGAAACCACTACATCCGCAGTCGGTGGGAAGGCGGAATATCAGCTGCTGTGAACCGGGCGGTGCTACTAAGTGTAATGAAACAGCTAAGGTCTCCCTAGGGAGGAATTTAGCAACGAAACCAATACAGAATGTAATAGAACGCTATTGAGAGTCCTTTCAAAAACCCTTGCTTTTCACCCTGCCCTCACCACTCCGACATGGGGGAGGGGGGCTCTGAAGGTGCGTGTACTGCATTCTGTGAGCAGTCCGAGCAGTCACAGCTAGTTGTACGTAGCATCTAGCGCGCACGCGTACAACGTTGTACCTTTCTGTAGTAAACTAGATGTAATCCCCCCCAACAAACACGAGCACGTAAACTAATCAGTCGATTCTTCTAAACTTTATGACTTGTATATAGTAGGTAGTGGCCACGTGCAACTTAGCTCGCTACATAGACGGCTTGGTGCCGGTTGGGTGCAAATAGCATGCTGTGCTCCAGCCGAGGTACGATTCGGCCGCTCTGCTACAGCAGCGACGATATCATAGTTGATATGTACTTACTGCTCTGCTCCCATGTAAAAAGCGTACTGACGTGCAAAGGTCGGCGATTTTTGAAACTCAAGAGGACGCAGCGGGGCAGGGAAGGCAGGCGAGGCGCCAAGCTCCGTACCACCCTTGCAACGCATTTGTGACCTGAGGGTAACAGCGCACCAGCGAAAATGGTGCAAGGTAAGCGACCAGACGTACGAGGCTGCCGGAGGGAAGAACAGTGAAGAGCAAGAATAGTGCTTCGAGATCAAATATGGGCACTGTAATACGCATTCTTGAAACGAGGACAAAAAGGATGAAGCACGGAGAAGTGACAGGGCAGAGGCAACATGGCTCCACAGACACCGACCAATCGGAAAACAGCACACGGGGTCGGAGAGGCGTCCCGATCAGTAAAGCCTTACTGCCTTGAATGCAGCCAAGGGGAAGCATGCAATCGTGCATGCAACCGCTGCACACCACACAGCACCACAGGCTACAGGAGCAGCAATCACATGACCGCCCAGCGGAGAGCAAGAAAAGTGTTTGCGGACCAAAGTCATTAGCAATGTGGTATGAAGCTTTCGAATTTCAAAGACTACACATTGAACTTCATACCAGCGTTATGTGCGAAGCCGCTAATAATCACGGAATGCGCGGCGAGGAGAGACAAAAGAAATCCCTCGTACGAGACAATGCTCAAGAACATTAGGCCTGAAGGGACGAAGGAAGAAGACACTACCAAAACCTCAAGAAACAGACGGAGCCAAAAAGAAACGTACAAGAATGCTGCAGAGGAAACAGGCTGGAGACAGACAAGAAAACGAATGAAAAGCGGAAAATGAGGTGCCGAGCTGCAGGCAACGACACGGTAGACCAACGTGTGAAAAGATGAAAAGCAGTAATCAGGACCTTTCCGGGTGTAGTATTGCTGTAGAATCCAGGGAGCCTCGTCTACTCGCTTGTGTGAGGAAGCCCCTACGGCCGTCGCTGCAAAGAAGTGCAGCCAGTGGCCTCCCATGTCTGTGAGCAGCAGCAGGAAGAAACCTAAGGCGAAAGGAAAGGCAGGGACAAACTGGCTGCGAGTGTCTCTCCCACTGGCACAGTCTCCTTTTGGTTTTGTCGCTTTCCATACACGCGTGCCTTTATGAGCAGCTCCAGAGACTGGAATCCCCATCAACAGTATTGAGCGGCAACAGTGGGAGAGTCAGGAAACAGATGGGGAAGAACGAGACGAGTACGTGCGTTCAGGGGCCGCAGCGAGACTCATAGAATGACAGGCGTGCATAGAGACAAAAAAATATGTAGAAGAGTAGAACGAGGAAAACGGAGGTCGGGGAGATGCTTTAGCTGCAGTAGGGGCAGGTGCAGTATACCTCCACCATAGCGAGGGTAAGCAATGGCATTGAGTGTGTACAGAAGGCACGTTGACAGGCGGTCCACCAGCTGGTCAAAGCAGGCACCGAACACTGAAACTGAAAACAAAAGACGCAAACAGACCTCAGAAGCACTCAAATAAGAGCTGCTGTAGAGAGCCTTGTCCAGAGGTAAGGCAGCAAGGGGAGATACTGCTGCTGTGTGCTGGCATGGCTTCCTCTTTCAAGATGTTTTCACGGCCCTTTCTGTACTACCGCACACGATATCTATCTCCCTAAAGATAATCAACCTCGAGTGCCCTCCTTGATCCTCTGTGTTTGAGAGCAGCACTCTTGACTGGTCGCTGGCCAATATCGAGGTGTGCGGGCGTGTTGAGTTGCAAGTGGCGAAGAGCCAGAGCGTAACAGTACCTTGCTGCAAGGTTCGTGCTGCGTGCCCATCCGCTATATCTAGCAGCTGAGACGCCCCGTATAAGAGCATAAACCAAAGGAAATTATCTGCTGTGAATGCTGCAGCTAACAGCAGCACGAGCCGCATGTAACCTGCAGAAGCAGCAAGCCCAAACACAAACATTCGAGGAAGGAGAAACAAGGAATAGAACTCAACACACTGGCACCAGCTGATGCGCCCTATGCCAAATACACACAGACACATACACATAGAGACACACACACACATGTATTCTTCTACGCGAAGACGAACACACGAGGAATTTAATTGGGCGCATAGGCAAGAGGGTAGTCATGCAAAGCGATAAGACAGTTGTGAAGACCCTGATCCCTGAGAAAAAGAAGGACTTCCGCGACCCCGTTGCGCCCCCTCCTCCGTCCCCTGGCACACGCGCTCTATGCAAGGAAGCCTACAAAAGCAACGGATTTCTACCGGATCACATAGGGGTATTGGTGCTGCACTGCTCCCGATTGGGGTACGGAAGAAGAACGGCTCCGGGGTAAGGGAAGCAAAGGCCTGTCTTTACATCCTTCCAGTGCCTGCTCCGCCTTGAGCAGCACCAGAAAAGAGAAGGTAGCCTCACCTATTATGTTGGGGACGAACAACGCCACCTCCCAGGCAGCCTGGCTCCCTGCGCCCCTTCCCCTAGACATCATAGTCGACATGAAAGACACGGGTGCAGCAAAGGCTCTCTGACAGGTTCTGTGCTGGCATATGTGTGCCCAAGTAGCGGGGAGGGGGGGACAGAAAGCGGCGGGGCCTTCTCCTGGTCTCTAGACAAATAGTGGTCCTATTCGGCCCCGAGAAAAGCAGAACATTAACAAAAACACGCAAAACTATATTTGTTACAAGAACACCATTAATACAGCTCGGGGGGCCAGGAGCAAGGACCCCAGCGCCCTGCTGCAGCTGTGCAGTCGTCCCCCTGTCTGTGTTACCCATGGGGCTGTTTCTGCGTAAAACTGGACTTTATGGCGGCTTTCTCCCGCTGCGTTGCTGCAGCCAGTACCCAAAGACTATCCCTAAAACTCCCGTTTGCCTGCGAAGGAGGGGTCCCTGCCGTCGTGGTGACTCCCGGGCGCTCACGGGCTAGCCTCTCAGCAGCTGCACCTCTCCCACCTATAAGAAAAGAGCACCTGGACGGGGGGGCCCTTGGGGGCCAGGAGTCCCCCTGATGCCTCTGCATGCCTCCTTGTGCAGGTCAACACGCACCAGGGCCCCCAGAAAAGGTGAGGGTGTTTCACTCTCTTCCTAGGGAGCTGAAGGCATCTACCTTATCTGGTGCTTTGCCTAGGGGACCAGCGTGCTCAAAGGTTCTCAGGAAAACCAGTGGTCGGCCTCGAGAGACCCCTACTCTAGGTTTCTCGGTTAGGTGCATCCGGCATACACGACAGCTGCACCACTAGGTGGCACTGCCTCATTGTGCCTCCTTCTGCCTCTTACTGGATTTGTCAGGCTCCACGCCTCTCTCAGATTCCTCCTAGGTACTGCCGTAACGTGATTTGACACGTTGAATATCCTCCGTTACGGGAAACACTGCTGCCTCCAATTCATCGGCCAAAGCAGGAGCAGCGGGAGGAGTATCAGCAGGAAGAGTGGCAGAATCATAGCAGAAAATGGCGGACCCCGTAGACCAGTGGCTAGAGGAATCCCTATCTCTTCCTGCCCGTCTGCAGAGGGAACTGAGGCTCATGGCTCAGCTGGATGCAGCCAGTGCATCAATCGATGCAGAGGTCAAATGCTTTTCCCCTTCTGTCTCCTGCATTTTTGTCCCACCTTCCTCCCTAATGCTACTCCCTCCTTACCCATGTGTATCAGATTCTCTCTTTGCTTCCCTCCGTTTCTCTGCTTTCGCCTATATATATATATATGCTGTGTGCAAGTATTTGGTTTTGTTTGTATCCTTCTAACGCTTCTTGGGTATCCTTGCGTGCCTCCACGAGTTTCGCCTTGCGCTTTCGTGACTCTTGCTCATTTCCTCGCTTCGAAGTAGCGATGCCAATTATGTGGAATACGCGTCAACTCCACCAATTAAATGCCTCTCTCTAATAAATCTACTGTTCTGTTGCTTGTGTGTCCTTGCCCCAGCTTCTCTGACCCTCTTTGCTGCGTTCGTTCCGTTGCTGGGTAAAGAAATGGACGGCTGATCCATATTGCGCGTCATCTTGTAAAACTATTAAAGCAGCAGCAGAATCCATCTTTCGTTTTCTGCATTTGGTCCTGCCTCAGGTCCGGCAACGCCAGGAGGAGTTTATTCGTCGCCTGGAAGCCCTTAAGGCTGAAGGGAGTCCTCTCGTGTTTGAAGGCATGGAAGAGGAACTCAAGCAAATACACGTGCGCTGGGGTGTAAGAGGATTGGGGATTCATTGTCTTTGTTTTTCGAGCACTTCAAGTCGGAGCTCAGCGTTCCTGTTTTCTTGTTTCTGCATCTATGTGTAGCGTCTGACCAATTAATTCGACAGTCTGTCTGTCCAATGCCGTTGCTTCTGCTGTGTGCTCTACGTTGTTGTTACTGATCAAGGAGATGCAACGAAAGAGTCGGGCACTGCTGCGAGAAAAGGTGGAGATAAACCGCCACGCCGCTGCTGTGCTACATGCAGAGCAGCAGACCCTCGCAGCGGAACGTCAGCGGCTGCTCCAGAACCCCAGTATTGCCGCTGCGGCAGCGGGTGTGGCAGCAGCAACGGATGCGATTGCCATTGTAGCTGATGGTGCAGGAAGCAGCAGCAGCACCTTACGGAGACGTGGAGGCAGCGATCGCGTCGCTGCGGTTGGCAGCACAACAGGAGCAGCCCAGCAGCAGCAGCTCGTTGCTACAGGCAGCAATAATCACAGCATGGATCGATCTCAAAGCAACATGGTGGTTACAGGTGCAGCGCACGCGACACGCGGGTGGCCAGCTGCCGCTTCTGGTCCATCACAGCGGCCACTGCAGCAGCAACACGTAGATGACCCTGCAATGCTGCATCATCAGACCTACATGCAGCATCAGCAGCTGCAAGTGCAGCGTCAGATGCAGAGGCAGCAAATGCAACAGCAGCAGATGCAGCTACAGGCGCAACAACAGCAACAGATGCAGCTGCAGCAGCCACAATCAATGCAGCAGCCGTTTATGCCTCAGCAGCAGCTGCAGGACCCCCGCTGCTTCCCCACTTCTACAGCTTTCCCGCCAAGTCATGGAAGCGAAATTGGAGAAGTGTGGCCGGAGATGTTGCTGCCTTCATTGCCACTTCATGCTCTTTTGCCCTTGCCTTCAAGCTGCTGGACGTCACCGCTATCTGTGGCTTCTGCTGTTGGTACTGTGGATGCTCCGCTGTGAAGAGCATGTTCTTGCTGGTGCTTGTTGCATGCGTGTATTTTCTTGTATGTCCCATCTGTTACTTCAGGGTAGCAGTGGTGGCTCCAAATCAGCTCGGGGGAGACTCAGCAGCTCTGCTGCAGTGACTGGCGGGGGCCCCCCAGGCAGACAGGGGGCAACCGACGGTCCTCCACATGGGGCTATCCACTCTCGGCGAGGCAGGAAGGTCCGCATGCTGCAGCTTTCCGAATGTTGTAGCATGCTTGATCGCTGCACTATTTACAGCCGTGAATGTCTTCGTGCTGCTCTATTACTATGACTTTTTGTCTTCTGTCCGACTTCAGCAGCTCGGTCTCGGTCAGTGGCTCCAAGATCGTTTGCTGTGGATTGTTTAACCAGAAGGGTTCTTACTGACTGGAAAGTAGTGCTTGATATCTTGGTTGTTGCATGCAGGCAGCAGAAAACTCGCTGCTGCTGCGGCAGCCCAGCAGTAGCACAGCAGCAAGCAGCGCCAGTTCACCCCCAAGCGAGAGTTTTCGTGTTGCGGCAGCAGTGGGGACATTAGGGGCCCCTCAGGCCACTGGAGGTCCCCAGGCCCCCCCATCTGCGAAGTCGCATGCAGCTACAGTACGGAAACAAATGGGGGGTTATTCAGCAAAATCGTCGGGAACAGCAGCAAATAAGGTAGGGCAGATAGACGCTCTCTCTACCGTTCCCTTCTCGTCCCCCCTACCGAAGTTCTTATGTTGATATATGCCCCTAGCTTTCTTCATTGTTTGCCCTGTGCAACACCCGCAATTTGGTTTTCTCCTTCTTTCTCTGGCCCGTCGCCACCAGACTTTCCCATGCACCCCTCATGTGCGGGACATCTGTGCCCACCCAACCATCGCCTTATGAATGTATAGAAACATGCACGGATTTTTAGTCGCCTCGCGTCTGTGTTTCCAATTTTTCGCATTAGCTGTTTAAGTTTCTGTACATTGCCCTGTGTGTGACTCTATGCAGGAGATGACATCCCACGGCGGCGGAGGTGAATCCTGGGAGGGCGTCTGTCCTGTGTGCCTCCGTGGGGAAGCCGCCACTGAAGTCATTAAGATGGTCGCTTGCGATGCGTGCAATCGCTGGTTCCACTTTGAATGCGTTGTGAGTCCCCCGAATCCGTAGCGCTCTTCCCTCTCCCTGCACCAAGTTTTCCTTTCTTCTTGATTTTTTCGTTTACATTTCTTAGGACTGTTCATCTGCATGTTTATCCCTCTACGGTTCCATCAATGTATTTTCTTCGTGTTCCACCACGCTCTTCCTATCTTTCCCTGGCATGCTGTTGGTACTTAATCAACCGTTCGGCATCTTGCCTGCTCCCTGTGAGCTGGATTGCTTTAAATAGTCTCATCGTTGCCTTTTTCCGGTGCATGTTCATTGCGCCTGGGTGTCTCCTAGGGTGCAACAGGCGAAAATTATGGGGGCAGCGAGGCACTTGTAATGTTTTATGTGTGCCGGCATTGTGTGGTCTACCTTTGTATATCGCTCAGGGATACGCAGGAGAGACCAGAGAAGATGATACTTGGTACTGCCCTGACTGCTATCGTAGGGGTACCGCATGAGGTGTCTAATGAGGCCTTGGCTCAAGCTGTAGAGGCACAGGCCTCGAGGGGTGCATAGAGGCCTCTGCCATCCCAAGAGGCATCCATTGTGCTTGGGTTATCCTTTTCATTCAAGGTGTACGGCAGAAGCAGAGAACGCTGCTGCTGCCTCTCCATCAGGAAGCATTGCCTTCTTGCGCTTCTGGTTTGTACTTTGGAAGATGCAGTATTTTGATGCAGACTTCCACGATATAGCTAGAGGAAAGTGGGCTTGCCTTTTGGCATGGATATTAGTAAAGAAGGTAATAAGGCAAGCAGACACTCACGAACGAACTGAGAAGAGTACAGGACAAGATAGTCAAATAGATGCGATAGGGTACTAGTCCGGGGGACCACAGACGAGGTGTGGATAGCACTGTTTCAGTGCTGCCCCGAGACGATACTCAATGATTCTGTGCGCGAGCATCTGAAAGGCTGAGACATGCATAATGTTCTAGACATTGCATTCACTGTCTAACTTGTCGTCAATGGGGTACCGCATGAACTGCATGGGCCTCCGGTGCCTGGCAGGACGCCCTCTCCAGCTGAGGAGAGAAAGGCCTTGTACGGTGTCTAGGGCACCTTCCCTGAGGGCGGCGTCGACGCCTGAGCGTCGCCCTCTGTGCCCCACTGCCATGTTGCATTCAACTGTCTCTACATAGTGCATGACCTTGCTTGTCAGAAACACAAATGCCTCGTGTAGCCGCTGCCCGGACAAAGCGCTGGTTTCCTTATAGGGGACACCCAGGCGACCTGCCAGGGCTTCCGCCTCCTCTTGGGTCACCTCCTGCAAGTGGCCACACTCAAATGCATGATATACAAGTACGAAACACTCCAGCAGCAGATGCATGACTGTCAATAGATGGCCACTGGGGCTGCAAGCAGTGCTAGTCAGAGCAAAGTCGATGGCTGGAGGACACGTCATGAGGAAAACAATGACAAAAGGGAGAATGAGTACTCGACGGGGGGACGATGAGGGGCAGGACGGTAGGGGGGGTGAGGTGAAGGTCTGAAAGCCTACAGAGACACAGATTGCGACTGTCTTTTAATATGTCCTAGCAGCTACTGACCCGCTCCTTGAGATCGCATTTGTTTCCCACGAGGAGCACCTGTACGTGGGGAGGGGCCCCCTCCCTCATGACAGATGCCCAATAATCTATACCTGCAGCCAAAGACCCAGCAGCGCAGACCTCTTGTACTGGAGAGATCCTGCCAATCACCTCCAGATGAGCCGTTGTCGCTTCATTGACGCAATTCTGGTGAGGAGCAATGGCACAGCGACGGGTAGAGTGGCACACGACAGAATCAGAGACAGGATACAGAGTGATACAATGAGGAAATATTGAGAGGGCGATACGATAGGATTATAAGCAGAAAATGGATCAGAGAGGCAATGCGAGAAGACGGTAATGCGAACACACGACACGCGAACACAGACACAGAGACACATTCGAACACTCCCTGCCTTCTAAACACAATGCGCTGCAGGTGATACACTGTGTTCGCGCTCTAAATAGCTTACTAAGAAAACTTCGCTTACACCCCAAGTCAAAGACCAGCATTACTCCCATCGCTCCACGGAAATAGACTGCGGCAGAAAACACACGCGTGCACGCACCTTACGCGCATCTTGCATAGCCACGGCGACAGCGAAATTCTCAGCAGCCAAGACCGAGCAGAGCAGCGGAGGGAGTACCGTCGCCTCCTGCTATCGCTATCGCAAGAAGTAATAGCAGAATCAGCCGCACCAAAGTTGGCAGAGGAACCAGGGCAAAAACAGTACTAAGAGTAGGAGCAGCGCAATAGCAACAGCAGCAGCAACAGACAGCAGCGGTGCCGTTGCCATGACAAGCTAACCATGTGCAACACTCTTGAATCGTTCGTGACCCGCAGTATCCCACACCTGCACCTTGGCGATCTTCCGTTCGACCTGTAAAGTCTTGCTCACGTAGTCAATGCTGATCGTGGGAGGCGGAGGCCCCCCTTTCGTTGCGCCAGGAGGCCCATTACTCCTAGAGGGCCCAACGCGGGCCCTTGGGGGCCCTTCAGTGAAACGCATCAGCATGCTACTCTTCCCTACGTTGCTGTCTCCTGAACGGAAATCAGCATAGGGGATGAATTTCGGGATGAATGTGTAACCGGCATCAGTGGCTACGAGATTCGACGTGTCGGCAGATTCTAAAGTAAGATCTATAAAAAAAAATAATTCATACAATGTTGTACATACAGTGCCTCTGGGACTATGCGTATGATAGGTGGTGCGCGGCAGACGGGACCCTACCTATAAGGAGAAGCTTCACGAGATAGTCATATCCCAGAGCACTCGTCCTCCTTTCGTCCCCAGACAGGAGCTCTAAGGCCCGCTCCACCACATCAGTCGCAGACGCAGACATTCTTCACTCAAACAATCTGATAGAAGAGCCCTTGCCTCAGGTGGTGTGCCTGCTGAGGGTTCTGCTGTTGCAGCGAATACCGACGCTTTACTAAGCTCATAGCCCTTCGGGCCCGCCTCTCATAAACTGCTGGGCCAAACGTGGCCCTTGTAGCAGCCCTTTACAAATGCACTGGTCCATATAGCCTGCTCGTTGATACAGTTGCTGCAATTTCTGCCGCTGATGCCGTGGTTCCTACAGCCACACTGCTGTATCGTGAGGCAATGACCACTATACTGCGACAGCTGTGTATGTTGTACCTATACAGCAACAACACAATTACCTTCAGCAGCGGGAGCTACTACTGTTTCCCTTGAGATGCGCCGATTCTGCTCGGAGTTGGTGCTCATTTATCCCACTCTCTGGTCCAACCGGCAAAACGATTACCACGCCACACTAACACACTCCATGGATTGTTCCTCGCATCAGGGACAACGGGTCCCTAGGGCGCCTCTACCGTGACAAGTTAGAGATTTGAGAAAGCAGTAAAAGCACACCAAAAAGGGAGAACGCAAAAGTCGAATGACTGGAATTCGGTGTGCTGCCTTTGGCCGTAGCCCCCTGCGGTCCTGGCAGTTGGTTCTGCCGCTGTTTCGTTCGCTTACCGCAGTATCGGCAGCAAAGACAACAGCTTAAACAAATGTGCTAACTGTATTGAGCCCTTGTACAAGTGTAAGTATGCGAAAGTAGGGACCCCTGTCTCTCACTGAGGGCCTGCTAGCAGCGGCGGCAGTGGTACCGGTGCCAAGGACCCCTGGGCATTGGCGATGCCCTTCGCCATCCAGGATTCCCTTTCCACTCGAGGTATTCATTGGTACAGCCATATTTGGTAGAATGTGCAACTTATTCACGCTAGATAGGTATTTCTGAGTAGCTTTTCTGTGTGTCACTCTAACTACAGGCGAGGCTCGCCCTGCCCTCTTGGAGCCCTTAGCCCCCAGCCCTACAAAAATGCTCTTTAATCGTTTTTCAGATGTATTTAAGCTCATTATTATTGCAATTCATACTGATTCAAGTCTCAAAGGAAGAACTTAAGGAACTTTTATGCAGAGAAGGCTGCTACCGACTTCCGCGGGCCCCTGGAGACACGCAATGGTCTGGGGAACAGACTTTGCCTCCCCGGAGGAATGGCTGAAACAAGCAGCAGCTATAGCTAATGACGGCAAAGAGTCCAAATCCATGCTTCTGGAAGTGCCCAGAGGTAATGAAAGATTGCCTCAAGCTAGAACAACAAGGGGACCCTCATGCATCCCAACGAAATTCCCTTTGGGCTTCCCCGTGCAAGCTTGCCTAAATGATGGCATGTCCGATTCCATAGCATCTCCTGTAAAGGATTCTTTCGGTGGTTGCCTGGGTCAGGGACTGAATGCTCATTCAGGGGCACCCGCTGGAACTCTCTGGGGGGGTGGCGCCCTGGTAGGACCGTCTCTGAGGTCTCTCCAAGCTACTGTAGGGGATCCCCTGCACAAAATAAAGAGAGTCCGGTCAAGAAAAGCCTTGCCGCGTACTGTCTGGATGAATTTAGCGGGGAGCCCATCATACGCTCTTCCTGGAGATCTCACACTTCCCCATGCTGAGGACACGCAGGGAGCCCCAATAAGTGATATCCTGGGCGTGTCAATGGGGCTCTTGAGGTCAACCACTGAGTCATTTGCAATGATCCACTCCGTGCCAGCAAGTATGGGGGCCCTTGACGGATCCATGCTCGGGCACCTCCTTTCCCATATGCGGCCACAAAAGGGTGAAAGAGCTTCAGCAGTAATGAATTATCCGGTGGCTCCCCCAGGGCTCAGTTCTACAGTCTGTTCACTTTCCCATCAGCAGAGCGCTATTAAGAAGGCGTCCGACCTACGAGAACTTCCTCATGGAGAAGTGACCTTATGCCCCAGGGAGCCTTCCTTCGCGAAAACGCTGAAGAATGCTCCCCGACAAGGCCCGAAATCCGATGACCCCAATAAGCCATGGGGCCACAGTCCACCAGGCTTGATGGTAGATGTGGATAAGTCGTCTCAGGGAATAAAGGCGGAGCTGGGGCCATCGGCAAGTATTCCTTTCCCGTGTGACTGCGTAGAGCCGCTGCCCCCGAGCTTCTTGGAAGATATCGGTAAGTTGTTCCCAGCCCTACCTTCCATAAGTGCATCGAGCGGACAGCTGTACACAAAGCTCAAGAGGGTCTGGAAGGCTGATGGCAAGGGTCTTAGGCACTTACGACACTGCGACTCTACACAGATCCAGGGGCGACTTTTAGACCTATTCGGCGTTCGTGTCGATGATCCCTTGGTGGGTTTTCCTGTTCCACATACTTTTCTCTGGAAAAAGCTGGTAGTGGCTTCAGTGTATGCAATGTGTGGGGTGGTTGCGGTAGGACTGGATGTGCCTTTGAGTAAGGAGGAGACAGCGGCGTATGAGGCAGCAGTGAAGAGCAACTGCCTACTTTGGCTGCCTCTAGGGAGGAGAAGGGTGCCCCTGGTGCCCGGTCTTGTAGTGTACAGCTACCTGCAAAGTCTTTCTGTGGCCTCTCAGTGCATTGTGTGTCTCTCGCCTACCGGAATGGGAACATTTGAACTGTATGAGGGCCTTTGTAAGGTCCTCTCCCTAGTGTGCCCCCAAGAGGCATATAACGGTGGGCTTTATGGATCTTATGGGGACTCAGCTGAGGAGCCTCGCGGTCTTATTGCAAGCTTATGCGCGCAGAATGAAAATGGAGAGATCGCAGCACAAAGTCAGAGATGCAGGCACTGGCAGCAGACACGACTCAAAGTCAAGTGGGGGTCTCCCCACACTTGGAACTCCTATCGTGCGGCCCTTAAGGAGTACAGCGAGGCCCTCAGGAAACATTATGGGGTGAGCAGTATCACAAATTGCATTCGACGCATATGTATGAGCGTGCGCAGACGCATGAAGACTGCGTGCATTATCGGTGTAGGCCTGTGGCTAGACTCATTATACTATGTGTTACGTGGATCTCTTTGCATCCCACTAACGCATACAAATAGTTGTACCCATAGATTTATAGATGCATATAAGTCAATGAAAATTTGTTTATTTAAATGCGAACATATCTATCGTATGTATGCATAAGCATTCGTGCAACTGCAGTCACACATTTGAACATGTTTTGTACCTAGGCACGACAAATCAAGGGTATGCATAGCTGTTTCATGCGTAAATGGCACACTGGTTGAGATTTTTCAACCGCATTCGTGGTAAGCTCACCCCGCTCACCCGACAGGTGTTCGTGCTACCGTCCGTTACTGCAGCTGCACTGGCCTCCCAGAAGCTCACAAGAGAAACAGAATTACAACCTGCACCGTCCCTTGGCCCCTCTACGCTTCGCTCGCTCCCAGGCAGATGCAGTCAAGATTAGATGCCGCACGCCCCAAGGAGCTCCATGGGCTAGTCCCCCTGTGGTTTCCATGGGGCAACCTTCACAAGATAGTGTGCTACATGCAGGTCGCAGTATAAAGGACAGCACGTGGGAAGACGCAGTCTCCACTGAGGTTCATCTATACTGGCCGCGGGTCCTTGTCTGCTCTGTTGCGGTTTTTGAGTCGATATTGATGCACGGATTCCTCACCTTAGAGGATGTAGCGTTGCTGCTCCTGGATGGAGTAACCTGCAGCAGCAGCAGCGACAGCAGCATCCCCTGCAACAGCGGTGCATATGATTGCCTTCTAAATCATTTCTTGCCACGGGTGTCTTGCCGGCCCCGCATACTCTCCCTCAGTGAAGGGCCTCTGGATGCAGGCTCTCCTGGCGCACTCACAAAACTCAGGGGATTACTGCATCGGATCCGATGCCCGTCTTTGCTACTGGCAGAGCCCTTAAGAACTGTCGGGGAACCTCTGGACGTAAAGCTTGTGCGATACAGCTCAGAGCAGCCTTCATACAAGACAAAATCGGAAGTAAAAGCTGCCGCGAAGGCCATTGTGGAGGTCCAGGACAGTGCAGCTGACCCCATGCTGTGCCTCCAAGAAGCCCCTCGCCAACGCCACTTTACTGAAGCAATTCGGCACATTCTCTCAATGTGCGATGAATACCTTACAGCGGCACTGCGGGTCAGGTGCCCCCTGAAACGAGGCGCCACCGAAGCCTCCTATGTTGACCTCGGTCTAAAAGGTCTCGGAGCTGATAATGCCGGTGGATCACCAGATGACGAGCCTGAGTGTTTCCATAAGCCCATTCAGGCTTCTGTTTCGACAAGCCTTCCACAGTCTTCTTTAAATGGCGCCGGAAGCTCTTCCTCAAGCGTTCCCTCGCAGTATCCCCCATATGCATCTGGAGATCCGGAGATGGATGCGGTGATGAATACAGTGGTTTCACACCCGCTATTGAAGGCGAATGTGCTTTGCATGCGATCGGTCTCTTCTTATCTTTCGCCAAAGCAGAGGCAATCTGTGTCTGCTCGCTGGGGACGGCTAAGAAGGACCCTTCTGCATATACAGCAGGAGTGGGGATTCTGGTGTCTCTGCGCTGCAGCTCAGAGGATCCGTATGAGGCTCAATAGAATAGCCCTCTCGCTTTCTGGAATAATTATGTACTCACAAACCAACGCGGGGCGGAACAACACTGGCATCCACGGAAGTCCCTTGGAGTTGGATTGCCTCGTAGCCCCTGAGCACTACAATGGGGCCTCACAGGTTGCAAGTACCCCAGGACCATTAGAGGCGCAACAGCTCAGAGCAGCAACAGAGGGATCATACGGTTTCCAAGCCCCACTGTTTGCAAATGGGATGACTCCATACAAGGCTTTTGAAAAGGGCACCCTAGGGACCCATCAAGGCGACTGCAGTGGTGTTGATTTCTCTCTGCCACCCTGGCTTTTATGGCCATTTGGGGTTTTGCCTGGTGAGTGTAGACTCCTTGAGTTCGTCGGTCTCTGTAAAGGGCTTTCAGGTGCCTTAAAAAGGCCAGATCCTTATTTGATGCAGCGGCGGCTTGAGCTAGGCGCCTCTCTGCTTTTCCTTGAGCTCCTGGGGGCTTTTCTGCGACAGCCCTCCCTGTCACCTTACCGAAAATTTTGTCAGGGGGGGCTTCAGGACCTCGGTGGTCTCTTGCACTTCCACCATCATCAACAGCAGCAAGATATGGTCATGAAACAGGACCGGGTGATAGGGTTTGCGAATTGCTACCGCGCTCTGGCTAAAGAGACCATAAGAGGTCTCTTCAGCCAGCGCCTCATAGCTCTTGACCGGATTCTCTGCCAACTCCAGAGGGATCAAGAAGGACCACTATGGATTAGTGGCTCCCATTGTATACCCCACAGCAAATTACTTCACGAAAGGGGGGCCCTTATCATTTGCCGTAGCAACACAGCAGCTTTGTGCCTCGGCCGCTTCATCATGGCTCGGGGCCTTGGGAAGATCGTTATCCTCCCCTGGGCCGCAAAGGAGAACATCTTGGATGGAACCCTAGGTGCACTCCGTGGTTGTACTGGTTTGGACGGAGGAACGCTTGCCAACACACGACTCTCGAGCACATGGGAGGCTTCTATCTCGAAAGAAAGCAATTCAGAGCCCAGTAGCGGTGACTTCCCCCTTCGGTTGACCATTGCTACTAACTCAAAGCAAGCGCTGCCAAGACTTGGCGAACCAGGGTATGGCATAGTGCTCATGCCGGAGGCGCCGGAGACAGAGCAAGAGCTGCTGCAGGCCGCTGCAGCCTGCGGCAACTACGTCAAAGGAGGCGGTCTGGTGGCACCCCCGATTATTATGTTGTTTGCTGCTGAGATGCCGTCCCCAGAATGCCCTATTTCGATGTGCAGCGTCGGCGCGCCGCATGCAAAGACAGTGGCACGTCGAGAAAGTCTAACCCGATTCGAGCTTCACCTGCTCCTGCAGCGCATTAAGTTGCTGCGTGGTATTGGGGGGCCCATGACATCAAGGCCCGGAGGGAAACAGGTGGCTTCTGCGTCTGCTCTCACCTCACCAAAGCGAATGCCCGGAGTGTGGGTGCCAGCTACAGGGGCCTTTGTGCCCTACCCTCTGGCTTGGAGCCTTTTGCAGCACGTGCTGGCTCAGGGATACCAGGAAGCAGCGTGCAGGGCCTTCAGGCAAGCTAGGGGCCCCCAAGCGGAAGCCTGCTTTATGCTGGGACCTCTGAGGGCTCGCCGGGAACAAAAAGGGCCACCAACAATAGAGTTACCCCCTCTTAAAGGATTCAGAGAGAATGCAATTATGCCGGAAGTTCTGGAGCTCGAGCCATCGAGCTTCGAGGGAACTCCAGGAGGGGCCCTGAGCTGGAGAGAATCATGGGAGGCGCTTGCAGTAAAAGCCCTTCAGCGTCTACACTCTTTGGGAGTCCTAAGCAACAACCTGTTGCTCAAACCCGACGCTTCCACACAGGCAGAGGAAAACGCCTCGGAATCTTCTGCTATGTATGAAGCTAGACTCTACTCCACTGGCGACAGAATGTGGAGGCTTCTCCCGAAATGCCTTCTTGCGCCGGAGGTCCTCAACCAGATGCTGAAAGATCCTGAATCGTACGCTGATGCAGTCTGCAGCTGAACAAGTAGCCTTAGTGCCCATCTAAGCAAATGCAGCACGTTCCTCTACCCCATGCTGTGCGTGCAGGACAGAGCATTTTACAGAGCTCTATATCCACCGCTTGTGGTGCACTCCCATGACTCGGCGGCAGGTGCAGGAAGAGCAACAGCAAGAGCAGTCACATGAAGCTATTGCAGAAAGAACCCCAGGCAAAACCTCTCAGACGGATGTGCCTCTCCCAGGCAGCCCTCTATATGACAGTGGCGGCCTTCTGGGGTATTGGACGCCTTTTAGCAGCAAACGAAAGAAAGCAGCAACGACAGCCGGGGCAACGGCAGCAGCAGAGGCAGAAGGAGCGGCGACACAGGCGGCGGCGGTGGAACTGCTGTGCAAGCTGTTTCCCCAAAGGCCAGTGGCTTCTGTTCTACAAGTGAGGCCTCGTAGTGTTCTCCTGTCTGCCTACTTCCTGCAATATTGGCTCTCAACCAAACCCTGATCCGTCGCTGTCTGCCTCGCAACACTGTAGAATTACTACCGCAGCTGCTTATTTCCGCTGTCGTTGCTGCTGCAGCCGCTGGCGCTTCTGCTGCCGGCACCTCTGCGAGAACCAGTTGTATTCTATGGGCTGCACCCCATGGGCACTTGGCGCGGTGATCCTACTGGGTGGGACGAGACAGCCGAAGGCCCCTCGGCTGAGAGCGATAATGAAGGACTTTTCTTTGGCGTCAGTGAACGGGAGAGCCCAGAAGGAGTAGAGGAGAGATCCGGCGAGGAGGGCTTTATGAGAATTGAGATTGAGCCTCCAGAAGAGGATATGCAGCTGAAAGTCCCCAACGGAGCAGCACTAACGGCTCTTCTGGTAAACCCTACGACGTACACTATTGCGATCACTACTAGGCCTCAGGCCTTAATACACATAAACATATTTTCGGCTTAGTCGTAGGAAACATGCACTTTGAATGTCTGCAAGACCACTGTGAAGCACCCTTCGGTACAACACCAGCAAAGATTAGCATGCTTGCTGGTGGAAACCCATGTCAAACTTGCTTAAAAGGTCAGAATGGCTTGTGTACAGCCACTCCCTGAAGTGCAGAAAAACCGTCTTTGTATGATTCCAATTTCCTAGCACAAACATAGGGGGATACTGAATCGTAGCTGCTGATTCTTGACAAGCTGTGTGGGTTTTCGTTCTGTGCTAAGGAATTTACCCACGAGATGCTCTTAAGGAGTCTCAGCATACAGAATTTCAGGCCGACGGTGAAATACAGTAGAACAGGAGCCGCTCTATGGGAAGCGCTCTTTAATGGAGCAGGTGGAGGCTCCCCTTCAGAGCTATCCAGCGCGTCTCTACGACTCTACGCGTCTAATCAGGATGCTTTTGCTTCATTGCCCCGCCTACGTACACCACAGCACCAGAGCGCGCTTCACAAGCGAATCGATGGAGCAACAGACCCAGTAGTTACACTATCTCAGCCAGTTGGCTCTATGGACAGTAACAGTCCTTCGGAGGGTCCTCAGGACCAAGATGCAGAGGGAACGAGTGTTGCACAGCTGCTGCTCAAAGGGGGAGTCAGCGACTGTCACCGCATTTTGCTGCCTTTTTTCGCCCTTGCCCCTCTTGCGTTTGATGGAAGAGCCCTTAACGTGTCATATATATGCAGCCTTAGAGCTCTCAAGTGCTTTTCTATCAGCAGCAAGTGGTAAGGTGACGAGACAAGCCTCCCTTGGTCGCTGCCACCGTAGCCCTATCCCAGCTGCCGTTACGCCTTGCTGATGCTTTTAATAAGCCACTAAACAGCGGCTGCCACCGAAAGCACATATCACTCCTCACTAGGTTGCTGGACCTTCTCCGCTGTGCCAGCAGCGTCAAAGGATTCGATGTTCCTCTCGACCCAAGCGGCACGAGCCTCATACTCAAAGCTAGTAGCTATGAAAACAGCTGCCGCTTTAGTAGCATGGCCAAGGTGTCTAACAATGTCCTTCCTTCAGGCGAGCCGAAGAAGCGTCTCGTTCACTCATGGAGGTCTATGGGGTAGACACTCTCAGGGCATCAGTACAGGGCCTTGCTAGTCCCTCATCTGCCTTACGTTTCTTTAGGTCAGCTCTACAGCACCTTGAAGAGAAACAATCTTCGCCGCTCAGCGGAGTAGACCCTGATATAACTGGCCGGCAGGAGAAGAAAGTCCCAACTGAGGAGATGGACTCAGGGTCGGAGATGGCGGTTGAGGATCTCGTGTTCTCCCCCATCTCCCCACTGCTGCGTGTAGGCCGTTGCTTCCCCTGGAAGGACTTTTGTAAGGCCGGTACGCTACTTCCTAGGGGATACAGTACACCTTTGCCTTCTGCTTATCAGGAAATTCAGGGCTCCTGAATAGCCTGTAAAGATTTGCTTTGGTTCCTTTTTGTCCCTTCGTTACTATCTGTGGCCATTCATCTGGCTGTTGCAGCATATGTCACCTGAGATACTATGTGCCCCTGCATCTATTAGTGTGAAGGCACCATGATACAGATATATATCTGCATATAATGTAATCCGCCTGACAATCTGACCGCAGGTGGGACCGGTGAGGGCTCCCTCATACCTGTACAGGGCTTTGAAAGCCTCCATCCCGAGAGAGGTCGCTACATCTTCAAAGCCCTTGAGCTACGCGGATTGGAGCGGCCCATTATTCGACTTACCCACGATGAGAGGCGCAGCTACAGATATATCTCCCTCCATTGCGCTGATACCACAGTACAATACTTGCACTTCAATAGCGAATTATGAAGGGAACGGAAGATTCTGATCTGCTGCGCTTGGCAAACAATTTTCATTGGAGCTCTTGGGGCATATAAATATCCCAACACAAGGTTTGAGATGCATATGAAGAGGTATTGAAGCAGAATACATTCTTGTGGAGTGTCTATAAAGCGTGGGTGCATCATTACAGGTCACACCATGGACTCCACAAGACAAGATGCACCAAGGAAGACCACCTCTAAGCGATGCCTACAGGCACCAGCTTTGTCAGGCCAGGGTGCGACTTGTAGAACCATACCCAGATCCCCAGAAGGGCCCCCACGGCAACTGCTGGCTACTACGTGGAACTCGTGTTCGTCAGGTGAGACTCTTCGTGTGTGACTCCTGCAGGATTATTATGGCACATTCATTGTACATACGTTCAGTTAGGGTTTCAGCGTGATAGAGCACCATTTGCCTCTGTCTACAGGGCTGCAGGTATCTAACTCGAGAGGACAGCAGCTCTACCACGATTTTTGCTGGAGCACAAGATGCTGAGACGGCCTATGCCCCACAATGTGCTCGCTTGTGTCCATGGACCGAACCAGTTTTCCTGGTAGGCTCCAGGGACATACACAGGGTAGAGGGGACGAACACGAAACGATAAACAGAGTGAAACCGAATCAAGAATGGCAGGCAAAAAATTGGTGCAGCGAGGGTGGGCAGGCAAGGAGAAGCATATAGGCGGAGATAGGGGGGGGTACACAGAGGAAGGTACAACAATGAAGAAAGTCAGAGAGGCCTGCGTGCAAACAGAAGGTACATCAACGAAATTTTTTGAGGGACAAGGTAAGGTGAAGAAAGGGTGGTGAAGCTGTGATTGGCCCTGTTGCCTCTCAGCAACTCACCTGGCTAGCCCCTGCTTTCTTCCAGCTGGAGGTTACGGCCAGTCACTTGGAGTTCAAGGACAGGATTTTGAAGCAGACGGTGTTGAAAGGCCCTCAGGGGCACTTATGTCTATGTAGGTTTTCCCGTTGTTTGTCAGCATGCCCCGCATCTGCCTCCAGCGATGCCATGTATGCTATTTACAGAACTTTTAAGCACTTTTCTCCACTTCTACTAGCTGCTTTCTGCGCTGGTCTTTCACATCCTCCGTGTTTCTCTTCTTGCATCCGTCTCTATAGACATGGGGACGTCGGTTATCATCGGCCCACAGTTTCCTTCTGCGAGAGGCCACTTTTACGCGTGGGAACCCTTGGGTTGCCCCTATCCTAGGCCAGTCTGTGCTTTTACGCCCATCAAGCTTCCTCTGCTCAATCACTTGCTTCTATGTGGCGTTGCTTAGGTCTTCATAAGCGCCTGCTTTCCGCTGCTCTTACATGCAAAGCCTCGCGCCTCCCTGGAGCTTTGGACAGCGGTGGCAATGCATGGCATTCCCAGCGGCTTGAATTTTTGGGTGACTCGGTTTTGGGCTTTGTTGTCGCCATGTATATCTTCTTCACTAACTTCAAGTGGGAGGATGAAGGAGCTCTTTCCCGCCGCAAAAGCAGCTACGTCTGTAACAAGCACCTGGCTGCCAAGGCCAGGGAAATGGGGATCGCAGGGCACCTCCTAGCCAGACCATTTATACCTTCTGCAACGCTTGTCGAGCTTAGGGAGCAGATTCTTTCCTCCAAGATGCTTGCAGACGCTGTGGAGGCCTTAACTGCGGCTGTCTATCTCTCAAACAAAACGCTCGTGCGGGACACTTCGAAAAACAGTCCGGAAGCAAGGAGCGCCTCGAAAACATCCCATACCGAGACTCGCCTTGGGGTATCAGGACACTTAGGTTCCTTTGATGGTCTCATTGCAGCTGCAGCGTTCCTCGATCGGTTTGTCCTTAAGGAAGCCTCCACGGACACTGGAGAAGAGGACACCTTGAAATCTCACCTTCAAATGGATGAATCGTCAAGGCTGCCCCCAATAGTTAACGTCCTGACGGCTACTGCACAAGTCTCGGCTTCAATCTGTTGCACTCCTGCAAGCGAGCCTGAATGGGCTCAGCTGGATGCAACGCCGCTAGTCGCTGGAGTGCCTCATGCTCCCCTACGACCCGACCCCCGAGTAATCGCTTTATTGCAGCAGCTCATGAGGGTCTCCCACGATTCCACAGCCACAAGCGCATCTTTAGGTATTTCAGCTGAAAGAGACTGGAGAAATGAGGAAGCTGTCTCTGTAGGAAAGGCCTCCCATCAAGCAATCTCCAACTTATGGCTATCCCCCGCAAAGGTATCCTCTGAGGTCGCTTCGCCAACCAGTTCAAATGAATCCAGTGGAGCGGCCTTCTGGAGAGATAGAGACCTTAATCTGCCCCTTGTGGCTTTGTCACGGACAGCAGAGGTCAGAACTGAAGAAGGCAGGCTACCCTCCTCGCTGGGCTGAGTAGTGTGTCTCAAGTGCCTTCCAACTTCCCTATACCGCCCCCATGTCCCTTGACATACCTCATATTGTTGTTTACTTTTCAGTTTTTGTGATATGCACGTGCTTCTCGGCTATGCGTGTCCTGCCCATCAAGCTGTGTAGGGATGCGGTTGCGTGTCACTCTCCAGGCGCCAGCGGCGGCTCGTGGGGGCCCTACTGCAACTTACCAGCTTCTGGAGTTCCTTGGGGACTCTGCACTGGGCTTTGTGGTGTCTGAGTGGCTATTTTCTTTGTTTCCCGAGGTCCGTGAAGGGCCTCTAACGATTATTAAGAGCCGCTTGGTCTCCAACTCGTTTTTTGCTGCCAAGATGATGCGCAAGTACGGCCCTCCGCCTCTGGTTTGACACTCCATTACTTCACCTGTCTTCCGCTTGTCTGGGGCCTTCATTTGTCTGCTGTCCTGCGCGGGAACCCGCTTCTTCATTCGCTCTGCTAAGTCCCACTTGTAAGAAAAGATCCACGTCTGTATGTATTTTCTTTTTCCTTTGTATTGGCATTGTCGACTGCTGCTACTCATGGTTTGCCCGCCGCAATAGCAAGCACGAGTAGTGTTTACGATTTTTGTTGCAAATTCGTTTGGCTATAGTGATTGTGGCCATCCATGTTCGTGGTTCTCAGGTTGCATGCAGCCGGGCTTTCGTATGACTCTCTGGCTCTTGGTTGGGACAGTTTCTCAGAGCCTCAGTCCTGGCCATGTCTCTGCGTGAGGTATGGCGACATAGGGTCTTCCTGGATCCCAAATTTAGCATCGAGTGCTTTTGGTGGGCTTATCGGTTCACTTTGGAGCGAGGAGGAAGCTGCGGGGTGTGGACTGAGGGCCGGATCACCCTGCCGCTGCTGCTGCTCCGGCTGCAGCAGCAGGAAGAGAGAAAGGGTAATTCAGCGCCTTGTCGCGCTACCACCTGAGGAAGACTTTACGCGTGAGGCGGCAGAAGTGCTCTCGCGGTTAGCCCACAGTCCCAGCAATGCTGCAGGAGACAACAGCAGCGGCTGTAGCAGTAATACACCGAAATGGGTTAAACAGTTAGGGGACATCTACGAGGCCCTTGCAAGCGCCACTCTGCTCTCCTCGGGCTTCTCTTTTGAGGTAAAAAAAGGGCAGCCACTAGGTAGTCGTGGAAAGCAGCTGTCACTGTGGTAAAAGAAGTAGCGGTTACAGTAACTGCATTTCCTGCACCTCTTACAAGCTTTTGCACCGAGGGAGCAGTTCTGCAGCTGCCGCCGCTGGTCCCGTAGAACAGTTAAACACCCTGCGAATGTGATCCCTCAGGCACTATGGGCGGCGGTGTCTGCGGACTTCGAGATCTGCATTCCCCAGCTAGAGTCCTTTCTATTAGCCCTTAGTCGTGCCAGGAGTAGTCAAGAGGAGCATGTTGACACCTAGTTCAGCTTACAGGGGCCCTGTCTGTGGTGCTACTGCTTTGCGCAGCCCGCATGGGCAGCCTCAAACCATTTAATGAAAGTGCTGTGACTGCTTGTTGGTCGCCCCGAAAGCAAAGCTCTAAGGCACCTTATGAAGCAATCGTTTGGCTGTCCCACTACTCTTATTACTTGATAGCTTACTAGGGTATACCTAGCTGAACAGCAAAAGCACCCTTAGATAGCAGGCTCTCTACAGTGGTAGTACTGAACTACGATGAAGGGCCCTGTGTTGCCCTGCGGTCGCTATCGCCTAGGAAAGCCAACGTTGCGTCGAAAGAGCAAAGGATTTCCGGCTTGGTTGACTCCTGGGCCTGCTCCAGCCTAGCAGCTCCCTTTGTACCACAAAAGCACCAAACACTGCCCCATAGACAGAGGCACTACCCAGCTGCCTGAAAGCGGCAGGGGTCCCCTAACAAAAATGTGTTTAGACGCCCCCAAGGGCCCCATCAATGCCCAGGAAACATTTGCAAACAGACCACCACCAGGATCCCACTGGACTTCACATATTCACTGGGCCTTACAAAATCCCAGCAGGGGTGTCTGTCTGCACGAAAAGGTGCGTCGGCACTTCAGCGCTATGCTCGCTAAGACGGTGCTTCTGCTGCTGCTAGCAACGGCGTCGGCGCTAGTACAGCAGCATACACAACCTCTACCACGCAAATGATAGAGCGATTGCCCGTTGCGACGCAAATGCTGCTATTATACTTGATGCCGTAGCTGTCAACTTGGTTGTTACCTCATGTACAGTTGCAATGGCACTTGAAGCCCCAAAAGTCAAAGATGACTGTCAAAGGCTTCTACCATTTCTTCTCCCTCTTGGCTTGCGTAGCTGCTGTCTGTTTCTTCGAGGCTGCTGTCCTGGCTGTTAAGGTGCCGCAGGGATGTGAGGGCCCGGGAGCCTCCCGGCACCAACTGCAAAAGCGTGAACTCTAGACTCCCCAGGTAGTTCACCCACCGTAACAACTGCTGCTGTGCGAGTGCAAGTGAAAAACCCTTGAAACGACCGGACACGGAGGACATGCTCCTGAGGGCATCCTGCAACGGAATGAGAAGTCTGTCCACAAAGAGTGATAGAACGGGGAGACTGTCTGGCAGGCCATCGAGGCAAACAGCCACAAACCCCAAGAGATGCATATACTCTTGTTTAAATCTTCGCACGAGATTGAGCAACTCTGCGAGCTCCTGGGTGTCATAAGCTCCCAAAGCCAGTCGGGCTGCCCTTCTGCGGGCCCATAATAGCTGCTGCAGGGATTCTTTGATGCTTTTTCGCGGATCTACTAGCTCCCCAAACCTCTGTATGTAGCTCCGCACTTCGGGGGCACTCTGAAGCCTGCGACTGAGGGTTTTCCGCGCCTCAGGCGTCTGCATCCGCAGTATGTGTACTAAGAGACCCACACCCACGCCAACACTGTCGCTCTGACGCAACAAGACTTGGTCCGCTCTACCAGGGGAGGAACCCACGAAGTAATAGACGACCGACAGCACCCTATCAACCACAGATGAATTCCTCACATAATTTGCCAAGCGCTTCAGCGCCCCTGGTTGCCCAGAGCCCGAGTGAAAAGCACCACCAGTCAGCAAATTTGTGGTCTTTTCCTCATCAGCAGCCGAAAGACCCTTTTTCTGGGTTTTCTGTAGGAGGATATGCGTATGCTGTGAATTTCTCGTGGTGAGGCTCCTCAGGCTATGATCCCGTGTAGTGTGCTCGTCAATTGGGGGTGCACCGAAGGTCGCCTCCTGTGGATCAATGAAGGAATAAGCCTCTTCAGACTTGTAAGGACCTTCCGCAGCTAGCTGTTGCAACTGCAGCAGCAGAAGCAGCAGCGCTAGTACTGGCACATGACGAGCCGCAGCCCTCATGTCGCCGAGCTATGTTGTCCTCCCCTCCCTAGTAAGGTGCTTCAAGGCTACCTACGCGTCCGATGTGCCCTTATACATACACAAGAAAATCGACTACTCAAAGTAATGCTCCCCAGCGCAAGGAATAAGCCGCATTCAGCTCGTCCATGTGTGAAGCAGATCCAGGTGGAGCCTCTCCTGTTCCTGCTAAAGCTATCGAAGCGCGTACAGCTGCTCCAGATATCCGAAAGAAAAACGCGGGAGGAGATGCAGCACGAGGGGCCCAAGCTGCTGGGCCCCCGTGTGGTCTCACGGGGAATTGCCCTGAGAAAGAAGCCGGCACATGAATTCTTCCTGCCTGTGCTGCTGCTGTAGCTTCTTTTGAGGCATACAAAATCCCGCGACAAGGCAGGGACAGAAGGAGGTTCGCACAAGGGGAGCTGGTCCGTTCTGGGTAGGAGAGAGGGGAAGCCGCGGGCACTGCCTACGCGTCGAAGAGGAAAGCAGACCAGGACAGTATCCTGCATAAAAGGCCCCACCTATCCCTCCTACGAATGCAAAAAGCAAGGCGGTTCTACATTTGAAAGCAAGAAAGAGGGGGACGAGCAGACAGAGGGACAACAGTAGAGAGGTAGCTCCACCAGAACGAAGCCTCTGAGAACAGCATATGCAGTACAAGGGGATTGTTTGGTTTCCCTCAAAGAAATCAACCTTTCCATCATTCATACACATAGAGTCTGTCCTTCGTGAAGCTTCTGTCCAAACAATCTATCCTATGAGGGTAGGACCTTCAGGGGCATCGATGCCCCAGCAGTTAGAGTACCCGGGATGCGTAGGATGTAGCGGTGGTGCTAAGTTCTCCCTCAATGTAAGCTCGTATGTTATCCTCCCAAATGCTGCCATTTCCAGGCTTTGCCTTATTCCAAACTGTTCTTTTTGCCGAGACGGACCTGAATAACGACAATCTATATGTCGTGATCTCCGATGGTCTCTTTGATGACCCCACCGCTGTTCCCAGATTCGGTGTTGGCAATTTGGATTTAATGCGTATTACCATAGGTGGCATCACACAGCTCACCTTGTAAGCTAAATTACTCATGGAGTTTCTAACGGCTTGGATACGTTTATTTAGTATATATATTGACTCGCATAGACCTTTTGTAGCCGCTCTTTTGCCGTAATACTGTAACATTACAATGTATTGAGTCAGATGGTAGCTATCAAGTACTTTCAAAAGTATTCTTTTTTATTGAATGAGGGGAGTAAAAGCGTGACAAATAATGTAAATGGAAGTAAGTCTATAGCGAACTGTTTTATGACGATAGCGCCCCATGTGTCTCTACAGGGAGAAGCACGTAAGACCGGATTCAATGCAAAGATAACAAAACCTTACTAAGCGTTTTCAAAAACTCTCTCCTCATTCTGCCCACTCACCTCAGAATTCCTGACGAAGGCAAGGAACAGCTAGGGCGCCTGTAGCTCCAGTCTATTAGCACTCGAAGAATTCACAGCAAGCTGTACATAGCATCTAGCTTACCAGCATATACCTTTGCGTCTTCTCGAATCAAGCTAGCAATACTCTGCAAAATGCAATATATGCGTGCAGTCAAACCAATAAGTCAATTTCTTTGGTAATCTCTAGTTCAATATAAATGTCGTAGTGTAATCCCGAAATACTGCTTAATCCATTAGATCTTCCCCTGCCCCCATATTTCGAACACATGACCTCGTGCTCCCTACCTGTTTGTAAGAGCAACTACGTGCAGAACAGCCGGAAAATTCCCAATCGATCGTCATTTCCTAGGCAGGCAAAACGCAAAAAGAGTGCAGACGAAAAACGGAAATGTGTATACTAAGCGCCAAGGAAAGGCCAACAGGAATGAGGGAATACATAATCGCCAGCAAAAGACAAGCTTCCGGAGTGGTGGCTGGGTAAACTATAGTGCTGAACTGTCTGAGCTTGCTATTATTAAAACCGGCCATGTGAAGTGCGTAAGGGCAATCAATATACACGACGATTGAACATTTCGTCCACACATTACACAGCAACGTTTGCATGTAAATACAGCCGATGCAGGTAGCATAGTCAGCATTATAGCCTCAGAAAAGGCACGAGAAAGCAAATGGGGGCAACCTATCTGAGAGCGCCAGCACCGAAATCTGCGTTTAGGGAATGCCGTACATACAATGGCCGGAAGAATTTTGCACACAAAACCTTAAACTGGGACAGATATTTTAGGCGAAAGGTGAGCTGGGAAGAGATCATTACCAGGAAGCGCCAGGAATACATTTCATGGCAACTAGCTTTGCTAACCGAACACAGCCGCAAATTCTACCGCAGGCAGCGAAAGCCGCAGCAACTCCTACATAAGCCGATAATATTGGCTTTGTCCGCCAGATTTCACTAAAAGTTACCGTTTATGTCTTCTCAGTATTCAATAGTCCCAGAATCCACCACTGAAACGGCTCTCTGTGGATTCCTCGTCTCCATAGGGGTTACTTGCCTGCGCGGCAAAGTCCGCGAGTAATTCGAGGAGTTTTAAAACTTTGTTAGTGAACCAATATAGCTGTATGCCACCATAAAGTGTAAGGAAATTCGATAGTCCGCAAAATATAAATTGATTTGTGAGAGAATCACAAGTGACCGTAGCCACCTGGGAGACAGACCTTATTTGCCTGGTCACTTTCTGGTGCTCCCCGTAAAATTTGCCGATCTACCAGGGGCGAATTCCAGGCTGAAGACACACAGAGGACCCCGCTTCTTATAATTGCATTATTTCCTTTTTTCCCCTTGCGCACACATTTGCGTGCATTCGCCACATGTACCCTGAATTTCTCCACTACGAAGGGTGCCTGCTGCCACCGGACCAAATGATCAAGGCCCCTATAACAGAATGGTTTCTTACAATAGGTCAGTGATGTTGCATAGAAGCAGGTAGGTGAACGTACTGTCGACTTCTGTACCCACTTAGCACTAGGCAGATATCAAGACAGGCAGCTGGACTTTGGTGATTGTAGAGTCACAATCACTGCAACAGAGTGCTGTTGGTGCGCTTTGTGTTTCTGCCTCAGGGTCGCTGCAGTGATCATACTATGGTCAATGTGTAGGTATTTCATTCATAAAGGCCCATATGAGCTTGCTACGAGTTTTGGATCCCTAGGCAGAATAATATCCTTGAAGAAACGGCGGAGCTTGAAGACAGAGTTGTGGGGAGTTGCACGACTTTCTGAACCATGATCAAGCTAGAGAGAAGAATGAATTGTTGAGTCAGCCCAAAATGACGCAGAGGTATCCTGGGCCTTGGATTCAGACAGTCGAACAAAAACGTCCACAGCCACGTCAGTCCAAATCCTTCCAAAAACTTCAAGATTTTGCAGAAGGCCCGGTGTCTGGACACTAATAAGGCTTTAGCTGCTGACAAATCGAAATCATCACTCCGTGAGTGCGGTTAGTCATTCTACTTATGTTGCTCACAAGCTCATCTGGTGGGCAAAGGTGGCCAATAGCTCAGCCCTACTTGGTGCAACACAGGCTTGGCCGCCCCTTGAGCTGTCTTCCTGTAGTGATAAGCAGGTGCGGTTATGCAGTGATTTGGCACCCCGCGTTTTTGTATCCGCAGGAATTTAGTGCTATACAGAATACAACAACTTCAATCTGGGCTTAAACATGGACGATCCCACCATCTGTAACAGCAGACTGGACAGTGTGTGTCATGGAGCTGGCAGTAAATGCTTTTCGGCTACGGGACACATCTCAGGCCTACAGGAGGACAGCCAGGCCTTTTCCGCGGTAGTGTGAACCACACAATAGCCTGAAACAATAGAGTCATGTGCTTTACGCAATGCACCACTGCGGATTGAAGTCGGAATATACAAGCGCTAGAGTCGCCATTTAGTTTTGAGCCGCAGTACACATCCTTAGCGAATATGAGCTTCACTATTTTGACACTCTGGATTCTGGCAGTGGAAGAAAATGCATGGGGATCAAAAATATAAAACTCACGCATTGTCTTTAATAACCGTGAAGGCGGCTGTGGTGCATAATAGTGAATCTTGGGGGAGTCGCAACAGCGCGTCGGCGACCACGGCCTCGGGGCTCGCTAACATATCTCGGTATAAAGTCATTCTGCAGAAGACCCCCGCGGTAGCAAACAAATATACTAATATCAAAGTTTTGGAATTTCTTTGCAAAGGATATCGCAGAATGATGATTGGTCGGCATAGTACACACACGAGCAACTAAATAGTACCGTCATTTTTCACTCCCCACCACACTGCATCGAGTCCTCGTGGGAAATGGATACCGCTGCTCGGTTTAGGTGGACGCCAAAAAGTGCCACTCGATACGTTTGGTGCTTTAAAGCACTTTCAACCAGTTAGGAACCATTTCCAATAATCCCAGTAAGAGTGGATCCATGCTTAAAACCGTCATCCTTCACTAAGCCGTTAAGCTGCCCGCATGAAGACCTCGCTTGACGGTTTTGATCCACCAGCTTACCTCGTTTGCCTTGAATGAAAATAGAGCTGGTGAGGCCAGATGGCGCTTTTTCTTAGCTCTTCCTAGCTCGCCAACCACCACAAGGCGCAGTTGTTCTTTCATGTGCGCTTCCGATCAGGTCACGCACCCATGGCCTACCTAGGATACCGTATGTTGAACAGATCCAGTGCACAAGTCACAGACCATGCTGACGCTTTAAACTGACAATGAACATCGATAGGCTTGCAACTGCTTGAACTATACCCCCGTTAGCAACAATGACTCTTGCGGAATGAGCTGACAAGTGAATAGGCAGACCACATTTCTACGCCGTCTCGGGCTATTAGATCTACTTCACATTCAGTGCTAAGTAACGCTAGCAGGCCTTGACCGTTGATGTAAACTGGTATTAAGTCAAGCTGACTGGTGTGGGCCTCTACCTGCAGCTCTGTTTTTCGTGGCCCCTTTACTTTGCTGCAGCGTGCGTGGGGTCCTTTCTGTTTTCCTGACGCACCTTGTGAGTCTGCCAAGCAGCCTGCTGCCA